CAGCCACTGGGCTGTGACCTGTGTTGTTTCCGTCCAGCTGTTACGTCCCTGTCCCTTTAAGACTTTCAAAAAGCACTCGCTTTTCTTTGTCACAGGGGCATCAGCTTTGGAACCTGCTCAGAGGTCTTGGTGCCCTGTTTCCCTAGTTTCCAGCCCTCCACGCATGCACTGTGTCTGCGCTCTGGTGCTGGTGGCTGGGGCTGTGTGTTTAGCAGTCCTGGGCTCCCTCTCCCGCCGGGACCTGGGGTGGGGCGTGCTCGGGTCCCGCCAGGCCGGTGGTTGTATATTACCCCTTTCACCAGGCGCTGGGCTCTCGCACGTGTGGATGTAGTCTGGCTGTTGTCCTGTGTCTCCTGGTCTCTCTTTTAGGATTAGTTGTATTTGTTGTATTTTCAAAAATATATATGTTTTTGGGAGGAGATTCCCACTGTCCTACTCACGCCACCATGTTGACTCGGCCTCCTCAGTATTTTATTCTTTTTGATGAAATTGTAAATGGAGTTGTTTTCCTGATTTTTCTTTCTGCTAGTTTGTTAGTATATAGGAATGCAGTAGATTTTAGTGTATTAATTTTGTATCCTGTAACTTTGCTGAATTCAGTTATTAGTTCTAATAGTTTTTTGGTGATTTTTTTAGGGTTTTTATGTTATAATATGTCATCTGCAAATAGTGACAGTTTAATTTCTTCCTTACCAATTTGGATACTTTTTATCTCTTTGTGTTTTCTGGTTGCTATGGCTAGGACCTCCAGTAATATGTTGAATGAAAGTGGTGAGAGTGGACATCCTTGTCTTTTTCCCGATCTTAATGGAAAAGCTTTCTGCTTTTTGCTATTAAGTATGATGTTAGCTGTGGGTTTGTTGTATACAGCCTTAATTAGGTTGAGGTACTTTCCCTCTATTCCCATTTTGTTTGGAGTTTTTATCAGGAGTGGATGTTGAATTTTGTCAAATGTTTTTTCAGTAGCTATTGAGATGATCATGTGATTTTTGTCCTTTTATTGTTAATGTGATATATGACATTGATTGAGTTACAAATATTGTACCATCCTTATATCCTTGGAATAAATCCCCCTTGGTCATGATGTGTAATCTTTTCATGTATTTTTGAGTTGCATTTGCTAATATTTTGTTGAGTATTTTTGCATGTATTGTCATCAGGGATACTGGTGTATAATTTTCTTTTTTTGTGGTGTCTTTGTCTGGTTTTGGTATTAGAGTGATCCTGGCCTCATAGAATGAGTTTGGATGTATTGCTTTCTCTTCTACTTTTGGAATATTGTAAAGAAGATCTGTATTAGCTCTTCTTTGAATGTTTGATAAAATTCTGCTGTGAAGCCATCTGGACCTTGGGCTTTGTTTTTAGGTAGATTTTTGATTACCAATGGTTTTTTTTTCCTATTGTTTTATTGGTTGGTGTTAATGGAGACAGTTGTGTAAGTTGTTTCTTTTTAGTGTTGGGAGGGAAAAACCTAGGTGGTGGTACTCTGAGTAAGCTTTGTCAAACTTTACAGAGATTAAAACCATGTGTTCTACAATTTTAGGATCAACATTTCATGCAATGGATAGCTATACCTCAGTATTGCGATTATTGGGCTTTCTATCTTTGAAAGTAAAAATGTCCATTTATAGTTTTTATGATTGGAGTTGAAAATTTTAGGTCACTTTCCCATCATAAAACTTGAGGGCTTTAGACATTAGTTTTATATTTGCTGTTTACATACTGTGAATACTGATTATCTAGTTCCTCAAAGAGACTCTAGTTTTAAGGATATCTTTTTCATCATATAAAATAGTATTCCTGGCATTATAGATAAACATCATCCTTCATCATAAACTACTTTTTCTTTTACTTGTTGTACAGAGGCACTTGTGACACAAAATTGGCAGAAAATGTTCCATTCCCCTTTTTTCTCATTTTTTCCCCTCAGTCAGGAATTTCATACTTTGTCTTTAATGTAAATTGTATCTATGGGTTTTAAAAACCAAACCAGGAACTTAGCCTTGTTAGTCTCTTTAGAAATAGTTTTAAAGACAATGGAAATTGTATTTTATGAATTGATTTTGAGTGTTGAGTTGTGAAGCTATCTTTAAAGATAAAATTTAAGAAAACATTTGGTGGACTTTGTTACTATTTCTATTGCAGTAGTGTTCTAGAGAGCATGTTAGAAAGTTACATTTATTTTTTTCTTTTTGTCATATTGATTTTGATATTTAAAGTCTTTGGCTTTCTCTGTAAGGGGTATTAAAAACCATATTTTGAGCCATATAAATACCAAAATGAATTTAGTCAAAATCTGTGTTGGTTTTATAGTGAGTTTATTAATAATTATATTACCCTCTTTCGCCAGAAAGAGCACATTAATGAAAACCATGTTTCACCCTTTACATACATAATTTGATGAGATCACCAAATGCTGATGTTAAGAACACATCAAAAGGAAAAGGTGAAAATGGGAGCTGTGTGGAAAGATACTAGAACTGATTAGCTCTGTCAAAAACCATATGACCAAGTGTAAGAGAGAAGAATAGATTTTGACCGTGAACTGACTTGAGGTCATCTAATAAGGGAAAGAAACAGCAAGATGGCCTTTTTTCTTAGAGTTTTTATAGGCTTTTGTAAAAGCAGAAAATACCTTGGAAACTGGTATATCATGGTTAGTGTTTGAAAACTCATGTTAGATTTCTTTTGTTTTTCTAACATTTTATTATAATTTACAGACATATAGAAAAGTTGAAAAAAATTATACTGTGAACAGCTATGTATCCACTACCTAGATTCCACCATTAACATTTTGCTGAATTTGCTTTATTACATAACTATCAATGTATTCATTTTTCTATCTGTTCATCATTCCATCTTGTTCCTTTATGCCTTTCAAAGTAAATCATATACATCCAGTACCTTTTCAGGAACAGTTCAGCATGCATATCATTAGCCAGAGTTCAGTATTTATTTGTGGTTCTTTTTCTGATATACAGTTACATGCAGTAAAATGTACAGCTCTTAAATGTACTGTTTAATGTGTTTTGGCAATTGCATATACTTATGTAATTAAGAACTTTATTAAGATAAAGCATATTACCATCATTCCGTAAAGCTCCCTCATGCTCCTTCAGAGTTAAGGCTTGCCTTTATTCCCACCGTCAAATGCAACTACTCGGGATATTTTTCACTAAATTAATTAATTTACCTTGTTCTAGAAGTTCATATAAATGGAATCATGCAGAATGTACAATTTTGGGGTAAAGCTTCTTTCACTTAGCATAATGTTTTTGAGATTTATCACTGTTGCATGTGTCACTGTTCTGTTCTTTTCATTGATGAATAGTATCCATTCTGTGGATATATTTATCCATTCTCCTGTTGTTGGATATTTGAATTGTTACCAGTTTAGAGCTAGTAATACATAAAGCTGTTATGAAGAATCTTGTGCAAGGCTTTTGTAAACATAAGCTTTTCTTGTGTGTAAATATCTAGTAATGAAATTACTGGGACAGAGGATAGGTGTGTGTTTTATTTTGTAAGAAACTGCTGGATATTTTTGCAAAGTGCTTTCACCAATTTATACTCCCACCAAAATGTATGAGCATTCCGATCCACACCCAAACCTGGTATTGTCAGTCAATTTAATTTTAACTATTCTGGTGGATGTGTAGAGGTATCTATCTTGTGTTTATTTTTAATGCTTATTTTAATGGGTGCTTAACTAAGACTGATCATGTTGAGTTCCTTATCGTGTTCTCATGAACCATGTGTATCTTCCTTTGTGAAATGTCTGTTCAAACACTTTGCCCATTTTAAAATTTGAATGTCTGTCTTATTAAGTTGAAAGAATTCTTTATATATACTGGATACCAGTCCTTTATCAGGTACATTTTGTGAATATTTTATTCTAGTTTGTACCCAGCCCATTCATTTTTTTAAATTATGTAATTTGTGGAGAAGTTTTTCACTTTTGTGGATTCTAATTTATCAATAGTTTCTATTGCTTTTTTGTCCTGAGAAACCTTTGTCCATTCCAGTGACAGATTTCTGATTTATTTTTATTACTTATAAATTCTTGTATCCATTTAAAAATTTACTTATATCATGAAGCTTTCACCCAGTAGTTACAGCTACTCATTTATGACCATATGGTAGCTTAAATCTAAATATGTCAACCAAAATATATAAAAGGAGTGGTTTCAGGGTTGTTTTATTTTTTTCAACACTCTGGATATTTTCTAGTTTTGTTGAGTGTTTTACTTGGAGGATGGGAAGGAATGGCAGAAGTGTGTTATTCTCAGGCAAGGGAGAAGAAGGCATAAATTGCTATGGGAAAACTATGAATTCCAACATTCCTCTCTTTACCCTCCTCCCTTTTCTCTATACTGGGTACTGTACACCTTCTCCTTCCACTGTTCTCTCTGATCCAAGGGATTACAGCTTCCTGATTTCCTGGTTCTGATATGTCAGCAAGGGGTGATCATCCAGAATAGTTAGTATAGCTGAAATTGTATCTGAATTTTAAGGCCCACTAGAGTGGCTGAACAGTATATGAATTTGCATTATCCTTGAGAGAACTATCAGGTTCTAAGTACAGTAGTGATCTGTATTAATAGGCCTACTTTTGCAGGTGTTTGATTTAACCATTTTCTCTGTAAGAGCAAAGCAGTGATTGTTGGTAAAATACTTGAGCCTAAAGCTGACTCTTCTTCAGGCCCATGTCAACAGTTGATTGAGGAGAAATACATCAGAATTTTGAGAGGATAGCCAGTAGCATTATAGATGAGCAATTTTGTGTATCATATTAAATGTTTTAGCTTTTAATTTTAAAAATAGTTTTTATAGATTTTTATTTCATTGGAGAAAGATCAAAGTAAAAATGAAAATGAAAACAAAACCAATACTTTTTCCCACCCTAGAACCAGAGAGGATGTAGTAGGTGGGATTCAGTGTACTCTGGGGCTTATTATACAAGAATTATGTTTCTTTACTCTTATTTTTTGTTGTTTCAGAAGAAGCTACTATGGAGGAAACTGGGCCAGTTTTAGCTTTTCAGGACTGTTGTCCTGGCTAAAGGAATACCAGGTAAAGTTCTTACCTGATTTTTTTAAGCTACTAGGTTGTGTTTGTATTACATAATAACCTTGTGCTGAAGAAAAACACTTGAGTTTCATCTGTAACATAGACTTGGTACCTCATTTTTATTATCTATTTAATGAAAATTATTCAGTCACATTTTCAGCTAATATTTTTCCAGTGCCTTCAAAATTTAGATATCACTTTTTAAGTATAAATAGATATGCTGGCTGATGAATAAGTCATATATATACTTGCTACCACTTTCTAATTACTTTGTGTGGCCAAATCTAAGGCAAAGTTTTTTCCACAAAACTGTCTTTCAGAAAAAAAAATTTCAGTCCTTATACAGCCTTACATATTGCTAGTTGCTCTTTCAATTGGTATATTTTGAAAGAAATAATTGGGGAAGATACGTTATTTTAAAATGATCTCAGTCATTGGTGGTTTTGCATATTATAGAAGTCACCTGACAATCATTAAAAACAAAAACAAGGAAAGAAATTTAATATATATTTAGTAATTTTTTTCTAAGGGTAGAATCTCACTCCTACAACTGTTAGGTATCATTGTAAAGAAGTTTTCTAGAGATCGTTTTCAGCATAATAATATGGCTGTGTCGTGGAGTTCACCAAGTTCTATGAGACAGATTAAGAAAACTATCCTGATTTTATGTAAATGGTACATGTAACTTGAAACAAAGTTCCTATTGAGAGCATGATACATGGAATCAGAAACTGCTATATCTCAAAAGAGTTTAGACAGTTGAGAAAAGAGGATGACACAGGCTAGAAAATTTTATTCAGTAAGGTAAGAATAATATAGCCAAAACTTACTAAGCATTTACAATGTGCCTACCACGTGGATATAAGTCCAAAAGTGCCTCTAGTGAGGACACAGACATTTATACTGAGGATGCAGTGAAGACTCAGTTTGAATAATATCATTGTATGAAATGAGAGTGTGGTGAAACAAGCAATATTTGTAAAGTAGTGTCTCATGAAACAATTCAAACTACATGTTATAAGTAGACATTTAACTGTTTTATCTTTATACCTTAAGTATTCATGTGTTTGTGTTTATCAGAAACTGTGTTTTGAACTTTATCTGTAGGAAGTATGTCTGAGAGTATTTTTTTTTTTTGGTATCATTAATGTACACTTAGCATGAGCAACATTATGGTTACTAGACTCCTTCCATTATCAAGTCCACACCACATATCCCATTACAGTCACTGTCCACCAGCATAGTAAGATGCTATAGAATCACTACTTGTCTTCTCTGTGTTCTACTGCCATCCCCATGCTCTCCCCCCACATTATGTGTGCTAATCGTAATGCCCCCTTTTCCCCCTTATCCCACCCTTCCCACCAATCCTCCCCAGTTCCTTTCCCTTTGGTAACTGTTAGTCCATTCTTGGGTTCTGTGAGTGTCTGCTGCTGTTTTATTCCTTCAGTTTTTGCTTTGTTCTTATACTCCACAGATGAGTGAAATCATTTCGATACTTGTCTTTCTTCGTCTGGCTTATGTCACTGAGCATAATAATCCTCTAGCTCCATCCATGTTGTTGCAAATGTTAGGATTTGTTTTCTCCTTATGGCTGAATAATATTCCATTTTGTATATGTACCATTATCTTCTTTATCCATTCATCGACTGATGGACACTTAGGTTGCTTCCATTTCCTGGCTATTGTAATTAGTGCTGTGATAAACATAGGGGTGCATATCTCTTTTTGAAACTGGGCTCCTGCATTCTTAGGGTAAATTCCCAGGAGTGGAATTCCTGGGTCAAATGGTATTTATAGTTTGAGTTTTTTGAGGAACCTCCATACTGCTTTTCACAATGGTTGAACTGATTGACATTCCCACCAGCAGTGTAGGAGGGTTCCCCTTTCTCCACAACCTCAACAACATTTGTTGTTGTTTGTCTTTTGGATGGAGGCCATCCTAACTGGTGTGAGGTGATATCGTATTGTGGTTTTGATTTGCATTTCTCTAATGATTAGCGATGTGGAACATCTTTTCATGTATGTGCCTGTTGGCCATCTGAATTTCTTTTTTGGTGAAGTGTCTGTTCAGATCCTCTGCCCATTTTTTGATTGGATTATTTGCTTTTTGTTTGTTGAGGTTAAGTGAGCTCTTTATGTATTTTGGATGTCAACCCTTTATTGGATATGTCATTTATGAATATATTCTCCATACTGTATGATGTCTTTTTATTCTATTAATGGTGTCCTTTGCTCTACAGAAGTTTTTCATCTTGATATTGTCTCACTTGTTCATTTTTGCTTTTGTTTCCCTTGCCTGGGGAGATATGTTCATGAAGAAGTTGCTCATGTTTATGTCCAAGAGATTTTTGCCTATGTTTTTTTCTATGAGTTTTATGGTTTCATGACTTACATTCAGGTCTTTGATCCATTTTGAGTTTACTTTTGTGTATAGGGTTAGACAGTGATGCAGTTTCATTGTCTTACATGTAGCTGTCCAGTTTTGCCAACACTAGCTGTTGAAGAGGCTGTCATTTCCCCATATCCATGGCTCCTTTATCATATATTAATTGACTGTATATGTTTGGGTTAATATCTGTACTCTCTATTCTGTTCCACTGATCTATGGGGTCTGTTCTTGTGCCAGTACCAAATTATCTTGATTACTATGGCCTTGTAGTAGAAGTTGGGAAGCGAGACCCCCCTGCTTTATTGTTCCTTTTCAGGATTGCTTTGGCTATTCGGGGTCTTTTGTGATTCCATGGGTCTTTTGTGATTCCCTATGAATTTTAGGAGTAATTGTTCCAGTTCATTGAAGAATGCTGTTGGTATTTTGATAGGGATTGCATTAAATCTGTTGGTTGCTTTTGGCAGGATGGCCATTTTGACAATATTAATTCTTACCAGCCAAGAGCATGGGATGAATTTCCATTTGTTAGTGTCCTCCTTAATTTCTCTTAAGAGCATCTTGTAGTTTTCAGGCTATAGGTTTTTCACTTCCTTGGTTAGGTTTATTCCTAGTTATTTTATTCTTTTTGATGCAGTTGTGAATGGAATTGTTTTCCTGATTTCTCTTTCTATTGGTTCATTGTTAGTGTATAGGAAAGCAACAGATTTCTGTGTATTAATTTTGTATCCCACAACTTTGCTGAATTCAGTTATTAGATCTAGTAGTTTTGGAGTAGAGTCTTTAGGGATTTTTATTTACAATGTCATGTCACCTGCAAATAGTGACAGTTTGACTTACTTCTTCCTTACCAATCTGGATGCCTTGTATTTCTTTGTTTTCTCTGCTTGCTTTGGCTAGAATCTCCTGTACTATGTTGAATAAAAGTGGCGAGAGTGGACATTCCTGTCCTGTTCCCGATCTTAGGTAGAAAGCTTTCAGCTTCTCACTGTTCAGTATGATGTTGGCTGTGGGTTTGTCATATATGGCCTTTATTATGTTGAGGTACTTGCCCTCTATACCCATTTTGTTGAGATTTTTTATCATGAATGGATGTTGAATTTTGTCAAGTGCTTTTCCAGCATCTGTGGAGATGATCATGTGGTTTTTGTCCTTCTTTTTGTTGATGTGGTGGATGATGTTGGTGGATTTTCGAATGTTGTACCATCCTTGCATCCCTGAGATGAATCCTACTTAATCGTGGTGTATGATTGTCTTGATGTATTTTTGAATTCAGTTTCTAATATTTCGTTGAGTGTTTTTGCATCTGTGTTCATCAGGGATATTGGTCTGTAATTTTCTTCTTTTGTGGTGTCTTTGCCTGGTTTTGGTATTAGAGTGATCCTGGCTTCATAGAATGAGTTTGGAAGTATTTCCTCCTCTTCTATTTTTTGGAAAACTTTAAGGAAAATGGGTATTATGTCTTCTCTAATTGTCTGATAAAATTCAGCGGTGAATCCATCTGGCCTGGGTGTTTTGTTCTTGGGTAGTTTTTTGGTTATTGATTCAATTTCATTGCTGGTAATTGGTCTGTTTAGATTTTCTGTTTCTTCCTTGGTCAGTCTTGGAAGGTTGTATTTTTCTAGAAAGTTGTCCATTTTTTATAACTTATCCAGCTTGTTAGCATATAAATTTTCATCTTATTCTCTAATAAGTCTGTATTTCTGTGGTGTCTGTCGTGATATTTCCTTTCTCATTTCTATTTCTGTTTATGTGTTTAGATCTCTTTTTCTCTTAGTAAGTCTGGCTAGTTGTTTATCTATTTTGTTTATTTTCTCAAAGAACCAGCTCTTGGTTTCATTGATCTTTTTCTATTCTTTTATTCTTCTCAATTTTATTCATTTCTTCTCTGATCTTTATTATGTCCCTCCTTCTCCTGAGTTTGGGTCTCTTTTGCTCTTCTTTTTACCAGTTTCAGTAATTGTGACTTTATTCATTTGGGATTGTTCTACCTTCTTTAAATAGGCCTGGATTGCTATATACTTTCCTCTTAGATCTGCCTTCTTTGCATTCCACAGAAGTTGTGGAATTGTGCAGTTGTCATTTTTTCCATATATTGCTTGATCTCTGTTTTAATTTGGTGATTGATCCATTGATTATTTAGGAGCATGTTGTTAAGCCTCCATGTGTTTGTGAGCCTTTTTGTTTTCTTTGTACAATTTATTTCTAGTTTTATACCTTTGTGGTCTGAAAAGTTGGTTGGTAGAATTGTAATCTTTTTGAATTTACTGAGGCTCTTTTTGTGGCCTAGTATGTGGTCTATTCTGGGAAATGTTCCATGTGCACTTGAGAAGAATGTGTATCCTGCTGCTTTTGGATGTAGAGTTCTGTAGATATCTGTTACGTCCATCTGTTCTAGTGTGTTGTTCAGTGCCTCTGTGTCCTTACTTATTTTCTGACTGTTGGATCTGTCCTATGTAGTGAGTGGTATGTTGAAGTCTCCTAAAATGAATCCATTGCATTCTATTTCCTCCTTTAATTCTGTTAGCATTCACGTATGTTGGTGCTCCTGTGTTGGGTGCAAAGATATATATATAATGGTTATATCCTCTTATTGTACTGACCCCTTTATCATTACTTAATGTCCTTCTTTATCTCTTTTTACTTTCTTTGTTTTGAAGTCTATTTGTCTGATACTAGTACTGCAACAGTTGCTTTTTTCTCCCTATTGTTTGCATGAAATATCTTTTTCCATCCCTTCACATTTAGTCTGTGTATGTCTTTGGGTTTGAGGTGAATCTCTTGTAGGCAGCATTAAAAATGGGTCTTGCTTTTTATCCATTCTGTTACTCTATATCTTTTGATTGGTGCATTCAGTCCATTTACATTTAGGGTGATTATTGATAGATACGTACTTTTTGCCATTGCTGGCTTTGGATTTGTGGTTACGAACACTTCAATGGTAGCTTGTTTACTATCTCACCATCTACGTTTAACTTACTTATCACGGTATTAAAACACAGTCTGATGGTTCTCTATTTCTCTCCCTTCTTCTTCTTCCTCCACTCTTTATATGTTATATGTTTTATTCTGTACTCTTTTGTGTTTCCCTTGACTGCTCTTGTGGATATCTGATTTTGTTTTTTGCCTTTAGTTAGTATTTGGTTGGTCTTTCTTTGATGTGATTTCATTTTCTCTGGTGACATCTATTTAGCCTTAGGAGTCCTTCCATCTATAGCAGTCCCTTGAAAATACCCTGCAGAGGTGTTTTGTGGGAGGTAAATTCCTTCAACTTTTGCCTATCTGGAAATTATTTAATTCCTCCTTCAAATTTAAATGATAATCTTGCTGGGTACAGTATTCTTGGTTCAAGGCCCTTCTGTTTCATTGCATTAAATATATCATACCATTCTCTTCTGGCCTGTAAGGTTTCTATTGAGAAGTCTGATGATAGCCTGATGGGTTTTCCTTTGTAGGTGATCTTTTCTCTCTCTCTGGATACCTTTGGTCTTTGCCATTTTAATTATTGTATGTCTTGTTGTTGTCCTCCTTGGGTTCCTTGTGTTGGGAGATCTGTGGGATTCCATGGTCTGAGAGACTGTTTCGTTCCCCAACTTGGGGAAGTTTTCGCAATTATTTCTTCAAAGATACTTTCTATCCCATTTTCTCTCTCTTCTTCTTCTGGTACCCTTATAATGTGAGTATTGTTCCATTTGGATTGGTCACAGTTCTCTTAATATTTTTTCATTCCTAGAGATCCTTTTTTCTCTCTCTGCCTCAGCTTCTCCATATTCCTGTTCTCTGATTTCTATTCCATTTTCAGTCTCTTCCACCTCATCCAGTTTGCTCTTAACTCCTTCAATTGATTGTTTCATTTCTGTTATCTCCCTCTAGACTTCATCACTTATCTCTTGCATATTTCTCTGCAGCTCCAGTAGCATGGTTATGACTATTATATTGAAATATTTTTCAGGAAGATTGATTATATCTATCTCAACAGGCCCTCTCTCCGGCATTGTTTGAGTGATTTTGGACTGGACCAGGTTCTTCTGCCTTTTCAGGGCGATAGAAGTCATCACTGGCAAGTGATGCATCTGCCGGCTGGGAGAACAAAGTCCCTTCCTGCTTTCTTGTCACCTTCCCCTTCTCTGCTGCCTGTGTTAGCTGCACATAGGGAGCAGTCTCTGGGTTAATTCCCTGAGCTTCTGTGGGTGGGGCTGCCCTCGGGATGGCCTACGGCACCACTGGGGGTCTCAGGCACGGGTCATGTCTTCTTCTGCGAGATTGGTGCCCCTTCGTGCGTTCCGGACTTTGTGCCGGCGTCTTCTGTTTGGGCCAGGCAGCTGCATGCTGGCGGAGCCTCTGGGTCTGGCCCAGTTAGCTGCGAGCTGGGAGAAGACTGTGTGGTTGTTGTGGGCATGGCTCCTCCCTAGTTGGTCCCCAGCAATGGCAGGTCAGCCGGTTTGCTTGCAGTGCTGGTGGGGGGGGAATGAATGGCAGGCTGCTTATCGGCCTGTGGGGCTTTGAAGCTGCTTGCCACTGAGGGGGTTAGGGTGCCTGAAGTTTCTTCACATTCTCAGCCTGCTGGGTTGAGTGTACCTGGATGATTTGTCTACCTGTTTAACCCTGTTCCTTTAAGACTTTAAGTGCCTACTTTTCTTTTGTCCCAGGGTAGCCGGTTGTGGGAACCTGTTCACAGTCTTAGTCTCGGATTTTGCTTTTCATTTCTCTAATATCTTGTACACCATGCAATGTGTGTTTGTGCTCCCAGTGAAGATTACTAGGGCTGGTTATTTAGCAGTCCTGTGCTTCCACTCCCTCCCCACTCTGATTCTTTTCCTCCCACTGGTGAGCTGGGGTGGGGTCAGTGCTTGGGTCCCACCAGGTCATGGCTTTCTATCTTATCCTTTTCATGAGATGCTGAGTTCTCACAGATGTATATGTAGCCTGGCTGTTGTACTGTATCTTCTGGTCTCTCTTTTAGGAATAGTTGTATTTGCTGTATTTTCAAACTATATATGGTTCTTAGAGATTTCCACTGCCCTACTCATGTCGCCATCTTGAGGCCTCCAGTCTTCTTGTATTAAACCGTATTTAGTGAGAAAATTTAGTGTAAATTCTTAAAACAACAAAAATACCTCAGTTGTCTGAATGCAAAACTTCTGTTGAATGAAGGGAATTTGGCAGAATAAATTCTGATAATGGGTTAGCTTAGTTAAAATAAAAATATTTTTGTAGACATTTTTTTTACTTTAATGCTTCTTTTACTCCAGCTTCTTGACTCTGTCACCATATCCTTTTTCCTCTTCATTCTCTATCCCTGGTCCATAGTTCTTTTTTTCAGTCTGGTAACCCCACATCTCCACATTCAAAATTCCTGTACTTCACCTCCTCTTCTACTTCTTTTAGGATGTTTAATAGTAGTTAATATTTATGCTTGGTAATAAGAGCTGTCTGCCATTACTTTTCTGCAGTTTACAATGATAATTTAGGACAACGAATCCTTTTAAAATTAATTACTGCCCTACTTTGTGTAATCTGTAAGTTTCAAAATTTTCTGAGGTCTGTTTACTTAAAACAGAAAGATACAGTAGTTGCATTTCACTACTACTTTTGAATGTAATGCATTAAAAAAAATTATCTGACAGGTGTATCAAACAGATTAATGTATTAAACAAATTAAATATTGATCCTTTCATTTGGGAAAGTTATATTGTGATATGTTCAAATGTCCCTTGTATTTAAATTTTTCTGCATCATATAATTCTCTCCATAAAGTGTAATTAGGAATTATTGAAAAATTTAAAGAACCACTTCTCATCCCTTAGTATGAGTTTACATACTTTATTATACATTCTTGATTTTATTGTCTTTCTGAATATGAGATGTTCAGGGGTTGATTATTTTATAGTCCTTTCTTGTATGGGGCTTAGTACTTTTCAAAAATAATTTTATTTAAAATCAATATTTGATATGATTAGTTACCAACCTTCAGAGATCTAAAAGTAGAATGAAGTAATTTTGAGCCTAGCCTCCTGTTTTGACAACAAAATGTAAAAACTTTATTATTAACAAGTAATATGTGCAACACATCCTGTTGATTCTCACAGATGGAAGGTTAGTTGTCCTAGGTCTTAAAGCAATGTCAAAACAGCCACATCCAAATTACTACATCAAAATGTCACATATCCTAATAAAAATCTGTACATCAGAGCTAACTTTTCATAGGGTAGATTTTTACACATTGTTTTCCTCACCTTTCTTTGAAGTTGATACACTATGTTGGAGTCACTTCAGTGATTCTGAAGTGCTGTTCTTGAGTTTTGATGTAATGAAAGGAAAGGCATGAATTTAGAAAGTTAGAAATTTGCTCAGAAGAGTACAGGTTCAGATTACTCAGTTTATTTAAAATTTATCGTCTGTATTTTGTTTAGGAAAATAGTGACATTGTGAAGGAAAGTCCAGTGTGGCAAGAGCAGATCCTTGAAAATGAAGAAGCCATTTCTCTTAGCAGGAAGGACAAAACCATTCAACATGTGGAAGTATTTTGTCATGCCAGGTATGAAAAGTGTTTATTTAGGATAAACTAAGTTAATGACTTCTTATTCACACATCTTCCAAAGAAGCTACATTAAGGATTTGTATGGAATTGGTTCCTACAAGCTTAGTTGATAAGCTGGTTTGTCTTTTTTTTAAGTGTGCCTTTTAGTTTTCTCAGTTTAGATGATGACAATAAACGACCTTACATTAATGATTTAACATTTACCATGCTTTTTAAAATACATTATGTTACCTGATCCTTCCAACAGCCCTGTGCTATGATAGAGCAGATAGTATTAGCTGAATTTTTTACAGAATCCTCAGTAGAGTTCAAACAGATTAATTTGCTGGAGGTCACATGGCTTGATAAATGTCAGGGCCACACCTATACTAGATAGTAGTGGAGCCCAAGATTAAAAACCAAGGTTATTTAATCCTAGTCCAGTTCAGCAGAGCAAAATGGAAAATACACACCATTCTTAGATAATCATTGGCAAAATGGAGAAGTATAAGAACATCAGGGTTGTTTCTACTTTTGTGTGTTACAAGTAAAGCTGCTGTGCACATTCTTTTACAGAATTTTGTGTGAACATGTTTTCAGTTCTCTGGGATATATGCCCAAGTATACAGTTGCTGGGTCATAATGGTAATTGCATGCTTAGGTTTAAAAGAAACTGATAGTTTTGCAGAGTTGCTGTACCATTTTACTTTCCCTCTAGAAATGTATGAGTGATGTTCAGTTTCTCCACATTCTCACCAGCATTTGATATTGTTACTTTTTAATTTTAGCTATTTTGGTAGGTGTGTAGTGATATCTCATTGTGGTTTTAATTTGTATTTTCCAGATGGCTGATTTTGAACATCTTTTTATGTGTTTGACATCCATATATACTTTTTAGTGAAATGTCTGTTTGTGTCTTTTGCTCATTTTATAATTGGATTGGTTTTTCCTGTGGATTTCTGAGAGTTCTTTATATTTCTCAATATGTATTGTTTGTCAGATATGTGGTCTGCAGATATTTTCACCCAGTTTGTAGCTTGTCTTTCATCATCTTTAAACAGGGTATTTTGTAGAGCAAATATTTTAAATTTTGATGAGGCCCAATTTAACAGTTTTTTATTTTGTGGATTGTGCTTTTGGTATCAAAAATCTGTAGATCCAGAGGACTGTCTCCTACTTTTAAAAAGTTCTATAGTTTTGTGTTTTACATTTAAGTCCATGATCTACTTTGAATTAATTTTTGGATAAAGTGTGACATTTAGGTCAATATTTATTTTTTTTAAGCCTGAGGTTATCCAGTTTCTTCAGCACCATTTATTGAAAAGGCTGTTTTTCTTCCATTGAAATACTTCTGCTTTTTTGTCAAAAGTCAGCTGCCTGCACAAGGATGGGCCTATTTCTGGATTCTCTGTTCTGTTCCATTGATCTCTATATCTTTTCACACACCAATACCATACTGTCTTGATTGCTGCAGCTATATAGTATGACTTAATATCAGGTGGAGTGATTCCTCTAAATTCTTTTTTGCCAAGATTGTCTTAGTTATTTAGAGTTTGTACCTTTACATATCAATCTTTAATAAGGTTGTCTATATCTATAAAATGTTGCTGGAATTTTGATAGAAATTGCATTAAGGCCATAGATCAATGTGGGGAGAATTGACACCTTTTGTATTCTTGAGTTTTCCAATTCCTCAACAAGGTATATCTCTCCATTTATGGAGGTCGTCTTTGATTTCTTTGTGCAGACTTGTGTGATTTTCAGCATACCAATCCTGTATGTATTTTGTTAATTGTACCTAAGTATTTAATTTTCTTTGGAGCAGTTTCAATTGTAAGTGGTATTGTCTTTTTAATTTTGGTTTTCATATGTTCATTATTAGTGTCTAGAAATGCAGTTGATTTTTATGCATTGATTTGTATCCTGAAATCTCACTGAACTCACTGATTCAAGGTCTAGGAATTTTTTTTTTGTAGGTTCCTTGGTATTTTTACATAGATAGTCTTGTCTTCTGCAAAGAAGAACATTTATATTTTCCTTTCCTTTAGCTTTTTTTTTAGTCTGTTTTCTATTGAAAGATGTTTTCTTTCTATAGCTGCACACCACGTGTTAATTGTGTTTTCTACTTAGCCTTCCACTCACTTAATGAGCATTTTCTTTTTCCAGGAAGGAATGTATTATCACTTCCTGAGGATTTTGTAATTATAACGCTAACTCTGGGTGATAACTTTGGGTTTCTCACTTGATATTTATCTTGTTCTTGGAAACTGCTTTCTCAGCATGTGCATATCAGATCCACAGTTTGGCCAAATAAAAAAAATGACCTGAAGACCTACACTTTAATGTTCATTCATGCCAAGAGTTTACTATATTTATTTATATTGGTATATTTCCAAAATAATCATGTAAAGATATCTTTATAATGACATGAATGCTGAAATACTATTACTTGTTTTCCCATTTTAGACCAGATGGATTAGCTTATTTACAGAGTTGATGTTTATTAGGCTAAAATCTATGATTTGATTCTTACATATGACACTTATATTTTCATCAAGGAAGAATAAAGTCCAGTTGATCTTTGAACAACATGGGTTTGAACTATGCAGGTTCACTTACATGCATATTTTTTTCAATAAATATACTGGAAAGATTTTTTGGAGATTTGCAACAATGTGAGAAAACATTTTCTTTTGTCTAGCTTACTTTATTGTAAGAGTACAGTATATATATATAGAATACATAATACATGTTAGTCAACTGTTTATGTTATTAGGCTTCTGGTCAACAATAGGCTGTTAGTAGTTAAGTTTTTGGAGAGTCAGAAGTTATATGTGGATTTTCGACTGTGCAGGGAGGTCCGTATCCCAAACCTACACATTGTTCTAGGGAGGGTCAACTGTATGTATCTCTTGGCCATAAACAATATTATAGCCATAACCAGCAGCCTCTTGATTTTAATCTGTGATTACAAGGACAGGACAAGGATGCAAATAAATCAGTGCAAACGCGTCACCACTGCTTGGAAAATACATCAGAGTACATGCCAAGTCAGTAACACGGTACACTAATACAAACATACAGGATAGTGCATTATTTTTTATTGTTGATTTCACTTATTTTTCTAAAATAATTTTGCAGTGTTAAGATGAAGGTTTTAGTGATTTTTAAAATATTTCATTTTATACTTTTGGCTATTACAAAGTTAAGCTAAGTACTAAAATAGAAGTGGCAGTGATTAATCTGTTATCAAAGGTTAAGTCCAGATATTGCAACTATCCAGATTGTTTTTGTATCAGAGCTTTTTTATCCTGAATACAGCAGCTTGAAAAAAGTGGGATAATTTCCAGTTTGGGCCAGAAATACTTTTACTATACATAGATTGCTTTTCGTTGAAATGAGTTTTGTGATTATACAATCAACTTATGGAAGGGAAGTGCAAAAGGACTAGCATTTATTGGATATTATCTATGTGGCAACTGCTCTAATCTGGTGCTTTACATATTTTATTTCACTCAGTTTCATTTATGTGTCCTCCAGCCATGTGCATGAGCTGTAAGTTTATCTTATTGATGAACCAACTGAAGATCAGAGGGAAACAGAGATAGCAGAGCCATGATTTCCATGTCTGTCTAACTCAAAAGTTTGTGCTGTTTCCATTGTATCATGTTGTGGTTCGTGCAGCACGTAATACATATATGCACATCAGGGGAGCCGTTCCACCAAGTGAATAAAACATTTCCTTTGTGAGTGCATTTACTTCTTTAGTTTATTAGAATACTATTTAGTATTGTAAAGTAGTCATATCTATAATGGAGAATTAATGTGCCTAACTTCCACTGTTAGGAAGATAAGTGATGAATCCAGTGTCCTTCAGTTGTCATGACTGTAGTTTATATACCACTGAACATTTTTGTAGTTTATATGGGGGAATAAAAGCAGCTACTATTTCTAGTTTTAAGTATTCAACATACTGTGAAAGGGCACAGTACATTAATTCACACTTAAGTTACACAAACCTGAACAGTTCTTAGGTAAAAGAGTGTTGCCTGTTGATTGGATAATACCATATAGTTTCTTTAGTGAGAAGACATTTTATCTTTCTAAAATATTAGCAAGAACTTGTGTTCTCTTTTTTTGCATAGTATTTAACATTGTTTCTGTGTTCTTGACATGATAACGTTAAAGCAGAATGAAAACTTGCTTTTTAAATATGCAAATAAACCAACTCTGTAGTGGGTTGGTACCAAAATAAAGATATTATTTTAATAGTAGTCTAAAATTCTACTTATTTATCTTGAATTATAAAATTTTAATTTACAAATTATAGAAGGAACATGAGCTTCCTGGGTATATATGTAATAATACCAGTGAGGAGAAAGGAATAAAAAAAATTGAAAATCAGCTGCAGTTTTTACAGTTCAGAGGAAGTGATTGTTCATCACTTTGTACAAATAAATTTGTTTTAAGCTGCAAGTGACACAGTATCCAACTAAAAGTGGTTCAAACATGTAGATGGATAGGTAGGTGGGAGGGTGGTTAGATAGGTAGCTAAGTAGGTCAGTCACTGGAGAATTTGTTAACTGAGCATCTTACTCTTGTTCGAGTTCTGGGGTAGCTGCTCTGTACTTCTCTTAGCTCCCTCTCCAGAGTTACAAGTTGGTTGCCGTGATTCCAAACAGATTTTCATGCAATAAAAATCTCTAAACATGAAAAGGAGAAGAATTTTTCTAATGTGTGTATGGTTTTTTTTTTGGTTATTATTATACTAGAGTCTACCGAGAGTCCCCAACAGACTCTTCCTTGTCTCATTGGCTCAAGCTAGATAACCTGCTCACTCCTAAATCAATCACTAGCAAAGGGCAGTAAAATTACAATAATTGGTTTTGATTAGCCATAATCCATCCCCTAATTCTGGGCATCTTCTGCCTGATATTAGAACAGAATTGCAGCTCTCGTTGCAGAGGGGGCAGCAGGTAATGGTTATTGAGAAGGCAACCAACGGTACTTGATGCACACCACCTTGTAAAATTTTCCTCATGGAGAAATGTGATAAGAGGTTGACATTTCAACTATATGCCATAGTATGTGTTAACACTTTAAGTCGCTGAGAAATAGGGAAATATATCTACCAATATATTACATGGCAGCAATGTAAAATTGATTCCAGTGTTTTTTTTTTTATATTGCTATTTTCTGGAACAACAACTTTTGGGTAGTCTTATTTTTGTAACTCTGACGAGTAACCATTAAACATTTATTTGCAGAAATAAACAGCTGGGTAGCAATATAATAGATACTGTGCAAATCAGAAACGAATGACCTCAGAACAAAGTGCATACATCAAAATAAAATAATACAATTTCTGCAACAAGCTGTACTGGAGATAAAAAAGGTGCAAATGGTTGAAAAATAAATAGTGAACACCTGTGCTGAATAAATTAACCAGCTGGTTGGCAATTTTTCATTTGACTCATCTGAAAGGGTGACTGTAACAAAGCATTAATAAGATGCATTCACTTTGTGGTGTTCCTTTGTTACTACCATTAATTGATAAGCAATACTAGATAATACCAGAATTTATAGCCCCAAATTCTCAGGGTTATGTATAGATTTTGGCAGTCAGCAAGAAATACATTATACAAAGCAGTATTCAGTAATTGCAGTTAGGTAAGATTATCTAAAACATATTGTTATACTGTAATTGCAAATGGCCTTTGAAATTCAGATTAGCAACATACATGACATTAGATTTCATTCTGAAATCTATTTTGATATTGGAAATTTTTGTAAGGACCAATGATGAAGATTTTTTCCCTTTATATGATAAAATCATAGCAGCACTTTAGAACTTAAATGTTCCTTTGAACACTATAATCCAGCCATATTAATTTACAACTGGCAAAGGTATTTTTATACTTTTCAAATACTTTAAAATTGATAACATTGAGTTATTATTTTATTCTGAAGTTTTTCTCAAAGGTTGAATTATCTTTTATAAGAAAATGTTTTTTAACCATACTATAAAGTTTTAAGTTTGAGGGAAGATAAGTCCTTTCCTTGATGAACAGAATGTTGCTTACTGAGGAATAAAGTGGCGTTTGGTGAGTTTTCTGGTGTCTTTATAACTTCTAGTTAGGTATGAAATTCAATCTTGGCAGAATTCCAGAACTGTAGTGGTGGTGGTAAGGAAAGTAAGGATACTATTGTATTTTTATTGCATATATTTTCCGTAGTGCTGGGGATTTCACCAAAGTATGGTGTTGAGAAAAGTAAAATTTGAAAGCTTAAGGATGTAAGAACAAATTCACAAAGAATAATTTCTTTCCTTACACTTATGCCTCTAATTATTTTGACTTCTGCCTTCCAGATTGTCCAGCCCTGGTTAATACATTTCATATTCTCTAGAAAGCCTTCATTCTCAGAATGTAATGGACAGCCATTGACTAGCTCAGTTGCTGTGCTTAATTTCCATGGTGCTATCATCATGGTTTGTAATAAGACAAGTTGCCATATTCTGTCTTATCTGTAAAGTGAAATTAATTATCCTGTCATTTCTTAGTTTAATCTTTACGCGTGGAACTTTTGCTGAAAGTTGTCACCTTAGATCCCTCATGGAACATACTTTGGTTTATTTGGTTTTCAAAATAATGAAAGTGAATACAGAACATGAACAAGTCTCTAGAAAATATGCAACCACATTTCATATTTTTGCTCTTCATTTTTATTGGCAATGTTACTGTTGTGTGGTTATGTGGCCAAAGAGCTTTCAACGTGTGAGCTCAGAAAACCTGGTGTTTTGAGTTGCTTGTTGATTGGTGGGAAGTTTAACATTTTCTTATATTTGATTAATATCTTATGTTTGATTAACTTTGTAGAGTTTATAAAATACTTTTCATACTTATCTTACAACAGCCTCATGAAAGGTAGGGCAGATGGAATGATCTCCATCTTATAGGTGGAGAATCTGAGAGATTAAGTGACTTGCCTAATAACGCTAAGTAATGCACCTAGGACTAGAACATTCCATACTACAATTCCTAGATCTGAAAAGTATCATTGTAGCATTAATGATATGTCTTTTTTATTATATTTAATTAAAATTACTAGATTATAACAGTAAATACCATGGCATTTTATTTTTTGATACTTATAGTGAGTTATTTTATTATTTTATTGTACTGTTTTTTATTGTAGCATTTATTGTGTTAATTTTAATAAGGTGCTTTTCATTGCGTACAGACTTTTGAATTTACAATTTATTGTTTTTTCCTGGCCTAATTTTTTTGTGTTTTCTACAAATAAGTTTTTTTCATAGTATCTATATATCTATATTTACATATATATATATATCCTTTGCATGTACAAAACATTTATTCATTCACTTATTCATCAAGTGCTTATTAGTTACCACCTCTATTGAGCAGTGCAGCAGGTGTTGTGCGGGGCACATAAGAAAAGATGTTAGGGTCCTCCCTCTGGACAATTAAAGTCTAAGTCATAAGATAAAGTATGTACTGGACAACCACAGGACTATTAAAAAGGACCTGGTGAATAAATGCAAAGTAAACTGCATATGTGTATCATGAGGGCATGGAATAATAGAATGATGAGTGTGTTTGGACTAAGGAAGACTTCTGGGAACTGAAATTACAATTTTTTCATAGCATGGATAGATTGGTGAAGTATATGATTATGTTTCGGGACGGAGGAATTACGATACTATGTGTGGCATGGGAAGAATAGCTCAGAAGAAGTATGTGATATGCACCAAAATATGGAGATTAGAATTGATAAATTAGGAGTTAGAGATGCCATGTTGGAAAGTAGGACAGATGAGACCAATAAGTAGATAAAGAAGGCGATTTTTTTGGACACAGGAAGAGGATGGTTTTATGGGTAGGGTTTACATTTGCTGTAAAGACGAGTTGCTGTTCTTGAGCAATCATTTAGCAGGTGTTTACTTCCCAAGGCCTGTCCATATACAAGGCATTTTTATTGTTGAGCAATGTTAAGCAGTATGTCAGCCCAATGACAATGTAGGTTCTGTGGAAGATAAAACATGGAGAAATACATGCTACAGGCAGACTGAATGGGAACCTGTTCTATCAATGAAGGCAATCATGGACTGAGACTGTTAGCTCTAGCTTTGGAATTGGAGCTTCCAGTACAGTAATAGACACTAATAATGAAACAAAATACAATAAGAAAGAATATAGAAAGATTGTATTAGATACCACATTGTGATAAGCCAAGTTAAACATTCATGGCAGTTTTTTTCTAGCTCTGTTACACCACTAATCATCATCATCATCATCATCTCTGATAACCACCATTGTTGAGCATTTTGCTATGTGCCAGGTGCTGTATAGGTATGTGATACTTCATTGATATTCAAAACAACCTTGTGAGGTGGATGGTATTACCCCTGTGTTATAGGTGGATAATTTAGGTCAGAGAGGGTAAATAACTTGTCTAAGTTCACAGTTACCTAGTCAAAGGGTCAGGGATTGGATCTTGAACTGTTTATTCTGAAGGCTGCGCTCATAAGCACTATGTTGATTTATTTCTAATATTCAAATCCCATCTGCCTTAAATTCTCAAAAGTGCACATGTGACATAGTCTGCTAATCCCTGAAATCTTTATGTGTATTTTTCAAGTCTTATGTTTCATATTGTATTGAAACCTTAAGAGAGGAATGTGTATAATGTGTGAGTCACATAAGGTGAAACATAGACTGAACGTGATAAGATAAATGGGGTAAAGAAATAAAAATTGCCATTAAAAGTTAGAATAATATAAAAATGTAGCCAGGTGCTATTATGAGAAGTATAGTGTTATTTTTATAATTTCTCATTAGTCAGGATTTGCATGAAGATGTCGAAGAAACTGGTGCACTGCAGAAAAATCACGCTTCTCTGACATCTGCGAACTCCACAGAAGCTGCACGTTCTGCCGGCCTGCCTACAGAAGATGAGTCATTAAGTGCTGAGAGCTGTGAAATGCCCACAGAACAAACTCCAAGCAGTCACCCAGAAAGTGCCCTAGAAGTGAGTGAGGTCAAAAAGACAGGGGAGAAAGAAAATCACTGTGATGATGAAACTTGCGCGCAGTCAATTTCAGAAGAAGAAACAAATGAAAATGTGCCTACAGCAGAAGACATTTCAGAGCAACCACAGAAAAGTAGGATTACTTACTCTCAAATTATTAAAGAAGGCAGGAGATTTAATATCGATTTGGTATCGAAGGTAAGTGTCAGTTTTGCTCATCACATAGAACAATATGTATTTTTAATGAATTGACAATGGCATGTGAGCTGATAAACTCAGTTTTCATAATTTTATTCTCTGAAGTTTAGCTTATTTGTTTTATAAAGAGGTAGCCAGAAGTTCTCAACTTATATTTAAGGAATATTTTAACTGAGTTATAAACACATTAAAAATGCTCATTAGTACATCACAAGAATACTGTTGTACTGGAGCATATAGTCCATCCTAATATTCTTCTACTGTATGAACACAATGAGTTTTATCAAGAGAAAAATTCTAACAAACCTAATTACAGACCCGTGTTACTTATAGTTAATCTCTTAAAAACCTTTCTCTAGCCCTTGTATAGTAACTATTTTAACATCTATATGAAGATGAATATTTTGAATAAACCAATACAGTCTTGAAAATCATCTGTTCAGGTGTGAGGACTTTGGAGGATAATTTAATAGTATTAAGAGCAGGGAGGATGGGAAGAATACTGCTGTCTTCATGTATGTTTCCATCTTTAGCTGTCATGTTAAGTCACTGTGATTTCAGAGGAGGTCTCTGAGTCTTAGGAGAGTACAGTGTTGCACTGGGTTTATAGGAAGCAAGACTAATTTAATGCAAAAGAATAGAAAACCAGTAAGATAAAGGACAGTGGCCTTAAAAGGGTTACAACATAGAGCTGGGTGAAAGTAGAAAAGAGAGACCAAATTCTGTAACCTGAGGGTCAACAGGGAGAAACTGAAAAGGAGAGGGTCGTGAATAACATTAGACTTGTTTCAAAGTTAGGCTTTGCAATTGAATATGCTCTCTAGAAGTTCCAAGTTATAAAGAGAGAGACTAATTGTATGCTCCTCACATTTTGTGATACAGTCCCATATCCTTATACTGCTGCTGTCTTTGAACCTGATGTCTGAAATAGGAGTATCTTTTTACTACCCATTGTTGCTTTCTATTACGTAGTCCTCTGTGTCTGATTCTGTCCTGATCTGAGCTGGCTGCTGCCTTGGTCCTACTTCATATTTCTGCACTATCTATTCCACTTCTCTACCTACTATGATTCTGTCATGCTTTGGAATCTAACATTCTTTACTTTTTTGATTTCTGGGTGTGGAAGTTTAATCATAGCTCATTAATAGTCTTCCTGTTCTCATGAAAAAACCAAACCAAGCAAAAAATACTGAAGTAGTCAGGTAACAAATGGGCTTTCGGAATGCCTAATTTAAAGAAATGGTGATAAAAATGATGTTTAAGAATCAAGGCTAGTTCATAAGAGTCTCTAACCCTTATGGTGACTGAAATACAGTGTAAATCTTGCAAAGGAAAATGGTTGAAGGTCGTGCTGATGCAATTTTTAGAGTTAGTGTGGGAAACTATTCACTTGTATAAGAAAGTGAATGCTGGTTATGGTGGATGGGGAGGTATTTTGATTAGATGCTGAGACATTTGAGAAGACTGAAGGAGATTCCTGGGTATTTTCATGAGATCAAATGGTTAATAATAACAGTTTTGCTGGGATAAATTAAAAACAAACGTGCCTAGAGGAATCAAGGCAGTTGCACTTTGTTCTGCATAGTTTTCATGGGTTCATACATTTAGAAAATAACCAATAATGGTTTACTGTACTCATCCTACAGAAGAGGAGTAGCTAAGAATGTATAAGCATAGCAATACAGAAAGGTTTATTATCATTTTTTAAATGTTAGTCATTTAACCAGTGTTTATTGCATACCTCCTGTGTGCAAAACAGAGAATTCCCTGATACTGGGGTAGTCAGTCACTCCTTGCAAAATCCATCTGTTCCAGTAATTGCAGTTATTTCATCTAAGTTTAGGATGATTGCCAAATATCTATCTCAAGCCCTATCTCTTCCTAAGGTCCAGTTTGATATCTCCAAACTGCTTGATTTTTCTACTTGCATCCCTTCTTGGGTCATAATAGTAAAATTGACAAATACTGTGGTTCTTTACAGTTTATGAAACATATCCATGTAAACAGCCTTTTAAAAAGTCATCTTACAGCTCAAGGTATGTTAGCTAAATAAAATACTCTATAATATTATACTACTTAGACTAATAGAGAAGATGATCAAAGATGAAGTTCTTACAATTAAAACTCATTTCTGAGAAAGTCTATACCCTTAATAATTATGAAACCAAAATGCCAAGTGAAGCAAAATTGTTAATTATCAAATCTAGTTCCTGTCCTTTTAATCAGATTCTTTAATCAGGTTTTCATTAGCCTCTTACCACCATGAAATTGCTGTGGCACATCACTTAGACTGGTGAAGAAGAGGCTTGATATGGTACATATTTGTTACTTCTAAGCTTCAGATAAAAGCTTAATATAGCTTTAGTTAAGATATGTTTTTATTCTTCAATGATACCTTTTTTTTTTAAGAATGCACACAGCTGCTTTATTAAAGGTAGCCAAAACTGGGGGAAAAAAATTGACCATCAAAAGGAGAATGGATTTTAAAAGTGCAGCAGAGCAATACGATGGAATCCTACTCAGACTGAAAAGGAACAATACATGTAATGACATAGATGGCACTCAAAAACATGCTGAGTGAGGGAAGGTAGACATCAAGGAGTATGCACTATGTGATTGTGTTTATGTGAAGTTCAAGAATAGGCAAAACTGTTATAGAGATAGAAATCAGAACAGTGGGGTCATCTGAGGTGGGCAGGAGGGTGAGAGTAGATTGACTAGTTGGGGACGCAAGCAAACTTCCTGGGAAAGTGTAAAAGTTCTGTTGGGGGTGAGGCATTGTGTATTTTCCTCTGTTCTTTTCCCTGCTGCAACAAAGAATTGAAGGGCAGAGACACAGTGAAACAGAGTAAAAGTTTTATTTAAAGTTACTTAGAGAAAATGCAGGCAACCTCAGAGAGAGAGAGGAGTGCCCTGAAAGGTTGGGGGTTCCCCCTTTTAAGGATTTTTCAGGAGTGTGACAAAGGGCTAGGAGTGTGTACTTACTTGTTAAGTGATCCCAAGTATCTTTGATGAGACATTAAGTTTCTTATCAGTCCTCTAGGTAATTTTGCAAAATTAGCTTAGCACAAGAAATTTACTTCTTTGGTCCCCTCCAGAATAGCAGCTTCCTGGTTTGGGAGCATATCAGTCAAGATTGTCTGCCCTTCCTCCAAGGTGGGCAGAGTTATTTGTTGTTTGCAAAGAGTATGTTAAGAATCTTTCTTCTTAAGCTTCCTTGGTTTTTTCAAAATGCAATTTCGACTTTAAGGTGGGATCTCCCTGTCTTTATTATGCTGTTTATAGGTGGGCCTTTTAGCAGGCTAGGGTAAATCTTACAAAGATCTAATTGACACAGTGAAGACATGGCCTGTGCTCAGATATTTCTCTATCTGGGGAATATTCAAACCTTCAAGGCCAAGTTGCTCTTGACCTTTTGAGCTATAACTGATTAACTTTAACTCTGAGTCTTTTCTGGCTTTCTAGTTTTAACTGGTTAGCTGAGTCCTTTCTAGGGGGCTTCACCTTGTTCTCTTTCCACCCCGCTCATACCTATTTTCCTGCCTAACATTTCCATCACTAGCATAGTAAAAATCACACCTACACTTGCCATGACAGCTACGAGAAAACCAAAGATACTTCAAATCCCTCCACCCAATGTGAAGGTGGAGCAATCCCAAACTCCAAAAAAACTCCAGTTGTTCCATTTGAAACCTAACCCCAATTAGTGAATGTAATTCTGGAGGGGGATATCCCAGGGCAAAAAAGCTTTGAAACTGAAATCAGTCAAAGGGAGAAATAAAGTTTAAGAAACCTGTTTATTTCTTCAAGCAGTCAACCTGCATATATCTTGATCTGGCTGCAGAAGAAGAGAGAGCTCCACTCAGCCTCTCTAGTCCAGATAATCCCTCCTCACCCTTTTAATTGCCTATTGATATGGAGATGTACTAAAGCCGGTCCAGAGATTCTGGAAGTATTGCAGTTTTACCCACAGGCCACCCCTCCAGAAATCTCTCCATACAATCTACTCATTCTCCACCTTCTGCAATGGTCCCTGGGCAAGAAAACTGAAGCATTGTGACCAGACTAGTGATGTACAGTAGCAACAGCAATAAAATCATGAGAATCCTCAAGCCGGGGGATTCAGCTAGGTTCAAAGTCTTATGCAGATTAAGTCCATAGCTCAACCATTCCATAGGCAGGCAGTAGCTGAACAGGTAGGGAGTTCAGAGTAATCATCATGTGGCAGCTGCAGCCAGGGGGCACATCCAGGCCACAAGACCTATAGAAGAAAGTAAACTTAAGGGTGATAAGATACATGTTTTAATGAGACCAGCATAGAAAAATCTTATCCATCATGTAGGATGCATCCAAGAGAGTGGTTCTGTGATAGGGCAGTGGCAGGAATGGGATCTCATCCTGGTCTAGTACACCAGACCTTTACCTGCTCCCTCTGGGAGTTACAGATGCGTCAATATATAGGACTACAGGAGGTACATGCACTGGCCATAAAGATAAAACAAAACTTCTCTGTAAGATGCTCTTACCTCCCAGATGTTTGGGGTACACTGCTGTGATCTTTGGGGACCACTCTGTTATTACCCCCAGGAATGCACATGAGCCAGCTCCAGACCTTTTCCCCAAGGTGCCAGAAGGGACAGCCATTGCTGGTCCATGTGTCAAAATGTGTTAATAGTGAGGTGCTTTGTTACGCCATGAAGATTTCTAATTGCTCTATCTTCTAATCACTTTTGCTATAGGATTTCCAAGTGGTATTTTAGGGAATAAAGGTTTTTCTAGTTGGGGATGCATGAGAATCTGTATGCAAACAGTAAACATCAACAGTAACTCTCTGTAATCAATCCTAGGTAAATCAAATATATGCAGGCATATTTTACATTCTGAAGTCATCAGTACTTCAAGGGTGTGTGTGGTGTGTGTGTGTGTGTGTGTGTAAATAAAATACGTACACACACATATATAAATACAAATATATTTATTCGATTTATATATATATATAT